ACTGCTTCTGCAGGGATGTATCAACAATGTAGAGAGTAACTCCTGTAATGCAACCAATTTATAGCAAGAACTGAAAAGCCCTCAACACACTGAGCAGCTGTCAAGGAGCACGTCATTCACACTCTGGGTAGAATGTCACAACTGCGAGGGGAGCTGGAGCAGCAACGTGTTAATATACTAGACAAGAAACAAGGCAGCATGGCGACGTGACATGCTCTCTAGAGTTGTCTGTAATTCCAGTAACTGAAATTATCAGAAGTAAAGTAAGTTCACATTGGCTCAATGTTGCCTGTAACAGCTTAAGATGGAAGTGAAACCCCCGAGAACTGCAGCATAGCCAGCCTTAAAGAGACCAGCTATAATTAAGAAATTCTGACAATGTCTTGGCCTCAAATCTTTGAAGTAAAGATAATTGCTCCTTACTCCCTTCTAAAAATCTAAATTAAAAGAATCCTCCCAAGTGATGGTTATTTTCCTGGAGATGATTTTGAAAACACAGGCCATAATTCTGGTTCTTAAGAGGAAAAAATAATAATCTTTTATTACATTTGGATGAGATTTTATTTTTAGAAATTACCGCCTGGCTGTGAGTGGCCGCTGCTTGCTGAATGCTATTCCCACTTCCTCCCTCATGGCGATCTCATGTGTACCAGTCTGAACTTACGGGATGGGCTGGAACTCTTCATTCAAGCCCAAGGGCTATTGGTCGTTATAAACCACAAATCCTTCCTCCCCCAAGTGTCTGACCTTTCCCACTGCATTTCTCTGCAGCCTCCTTTATACAAAACAAAGCCTGTGGCACTAGTGATGTCTGCTGAACAGTTGTTCTGGCAGTTTACATGACAAGGGAGAGACGTCTTCAAAACATGAGCGAATGACAACTGCCTAGTTCCATGGTGAGAGAACTAAAGGGCTGACTGGCAGCCCGTGGACACCTGATGGAAGTCAGTGCTGCTTCAATAACACATGGCAGGTGTTCTACTCAGCTGCCGCAGCACAAAGCAAAGCTGAGTGTTCCTGAAATTTCACAAACAAGCAGTACGGTGGATCTGGCCCATCCCGATCTAGAATGGCAGGTACCGCAAGAGTCTGAAAGCACAATTTAAATTCAGCAGGATGCAGTGTGGTTGCCAGTCAGTGTGCCTGTGGTGCACAGCCAATTCTCAGGGTAGACATCTGGCCTAAATGTCCCAGGCTTTTCTGTGTGCAGTTCATTCTCTGTCCTGTCAACACAGTACAGACAACTAAGCCCACTGACTAGTGGACAAATAGTAGATACTATGGAAAACTTTTGGAGTGCTATGCTAAAAGTTAACAGTTTTTCTACTCCACACCAAATTTACAAAACTGATATAACATTTTCCCTTGGCCTTAGAAGGACAGGTTTTGCAGAGGAATTTTTAAAAATATGATTGGGCTGAATATTTATTTATAATCATTTTAAACACCCAAAATGTCTCATTATTAATTTATTTTTCCAATTAATCACAAAAATTCTTATTGGTAGGATGTTTTGATTGTACATTGTTTTTTTGTGGTGCAGTACTGTGTGAACAGTGCTGGAGAAATCCGAGCATGCACTGAGACTTCTTAACCAGTGCATAAAGGTTACTCTATCATCCTAGCTGTTTGGACTAGATGAATGACAGCTGTACATAACGTTTAACAGCACCTCTGTTGATGACACTCATAGGAATGAAACAAAAAATGCCAGTAAGACTTTTCACAGTACGAGTTCAATATTAATTCTAGTATCCTGGGTATATTTTTAACATTCAATAGCACTGAATGATTGATCAGAAAGTTACTGATTTAGACACGTAGAAAAAGCTATTACCTCTTTTGGTGACCTGCATTTTACACTATGGGAAAATTTAAGTTATTTGAGAATTTTAGCATTTTGAATCTTCTATTCCATATTTCTCAGTCCTATAAAAGTAAAAGCATATGGGGAAATGTGGAGTGGAGAAGTGTTCATTTCAAACTTTCAGGGCTTTGGGAAAGGGTCTGATGATGCTGTAGGACCCACAGAGCAAGGCCTACCTCCACAAGAGACTTCTACCAGCAAAGACTTCTCAAAACTTCAAGGCTATTCTAGAGACTGGAATTCAAGGCCAGCTGGAATCAAGGTCTTCAGGGTTTCTGAGGAGTCTGAGTTGAAAATTATAAGCTTGATTTAGGGTTTTTTTTTTGTTTTTTTGTTTGTTTTTAAAGAGCTAAAGAAAGTTAAGGAAAATTTTTATCCTGACAATATGTTATTTGATCAAAACAAAACAAAGCAAAAAACAAAAAACTATCTTCCAAAGGAAGAAGTGGAGATGAGTTGCCCCAATTACGTTTTTTTTGAAAGAGACAAGAATAATAGGAATTTGCTAAAATAAAACAAAACGAAAAACATTTCCTCTAAGTTAGTTTATAAGCTCTAGGTGTCCCTTTCAAACATTTTCTAAGTCCCAAGATAATATATTAAAATTAACTTGACACAGTAAATGTATTATTTTAGAAGGAAATACAGAATTAAGGATCTAAATTTTTCAAGAGTGACACAAAAAGACGTATCAGCAGCTGCTGCTTTCACTTTGGGCATTTTCATGGACTTTTCAAAGTTAGCTTTTCTCTTTGCGAAGACAAAATACCCAGATACTCAAAAGTTTCTCACAGCGTCACCAATACAACTGCAAGCCTAAGGCAAGTGGTAATTTTTCTAATTTTTCTACAGTAAGAGGGCTGTGATCTCCCGGGAATCGGTAACAGAAGTGGGATAAGGTTTCAGAACTCACAAGGTAAACGACAGAGCCAACACTGAGCTGAATACACATTTCAATCAGCAAAACCCACCTACCAACAAGTGGCTCCTGGATATTTTTATTAACAAGCTGAAGACAGTGCTCAGAACAAGTACGGACATGGCACAGGGTGTACATCCTTGCTCTAGCTGCTGTAGCCTATCACTAACTCATGACCACAACATGCAATAACACCAATACCCAAGAAAGCCGGGAGAACCTTATGGTGCAAATGGGGCCTGATTCTGCTGCGCCGCCACTGACACTGTTGTCAATGAACTTTACAAGTCAAATCAGGCTACTTCTCACAAACAGGTAACTGACAGGCCTTTAACAGATTTGGAGGAACACAGGTCAAACGGCCTAGCCCATAATTAGTTCTTTTTAGACATTAAATTGACATATAGGGGTTAGAGGAACCTAAAAAAGGCATTCTTAATCTTAACCAGATACTTTTATGGTAGCTACATAATACAGAAAAGTAATACAGCTTTAAAAAAAAATTACCCCCAAATGATCTTGTAAATGTGCGTTGCTATAATCCCTGTGCGGATTTACATCTCAAATATAGACTGATTGATTCAGGAAATTATATTAAGTATGCAGAAACAATCTGAATGTCTATCAACAGACGAATTAAGAGAAAATACATATACAACATACCAGTCAGCCTTGAAGAAGAAAGTCTGTATCATGTGACCCACCCAGGAGCCTTGAGGGCATCACGTTAAGGGGAACAAGGAAGCAGAGCACATCTTGTTCTGCTGAGTCACTCACATTGCGGTTCAGAGGAGTCCAATTCATAGAACTGGGGTGAGGGGAGGGGAAAGAGGCAGCCACTAATGAGCCAACAGCACTTTCAGTCAGAACAATGAATAACTTCTGCTGAGCCACTCTACAACAAGATGACAGCCAGTGATGACACCTTGGAGACGTCATACTACTGAGGTGGCCGATTTCATGCTGAGTGTTATAACCACCAAGGAGAACATTAAAGAACAAAAGATGATAGAAAGGAGGGACCTATAAGAACCCCTACATTGATTTTAAATCTATATTTCTTCACTATTCCAATTAATCCATGTGTATCTGCTATTCCTTCTGGGCACAGCTCATAAACTGGATTATCTGAAATAATCTCTGTGGGAAACACTGACATATAATTAAAATACCAACTTCACTTTTGGGTTCAGAATGTGAAAATCTATCACGAATCAGGGTGAAAACACTTTTAAAAAAACCCAAAGCAAGGTGCTAAAAGATATAACCACATAGAGTGCTTCTGTAGATGACTACTTATCTGGAAACATTCCTTATCAATTTTGTATTCTGATGATAAACTATTTGCTGAAATCTAACAGGACTCACAGAGACGAGGAATTTTCTTTGCACCATACAGACTTGACTTCAAGCTGGAAGTACAGGCCTGGAGTGGGCCTGACCCTCACTGCATTCTTAGTGCTTTGTTGCTAACTAAAGGTCAGCAGCCAACATTTTCCACTCGACCATTCAGTCAACTTATGCACCAAATTTCCTTATATACCGTTCCGCTTGTATGCTTGTTATGGTGTAGAACACCTGATAGTTTATAGTATGTATCTGCATGTAGTATACAGGAATTACCGTATTCTAAATGCATATGCTAGGCATGTAAACAAAACATACGAAAACGCTTTAGTGTAACACATTATGTCCTTATTACAGTGATTACACATCCCATTTAACAGTACTTCTTACATTGCCTATTATACTCAAGGTTTGTGGAAAGACAGTAAGTAAAATCTGTTCTACTTTCCAGTCCCTGCAGCTTGTTTTCTGAATTCTGACCAGCATGCTCTGACCTGCTCTGAAACAGAACCAGAGCAATGTGATATTTATTTGCTGACTCTAATGAAATCTGTTAGGACCACAGTCAGGTTAACAAAGAAGACTCAAGAGCATATGCAAGTGCCTACAAGAATTAAAGGAATCTACAAACACAGGGCAGCCCCTCTCCAATCCAAAACTATCTTCCTGAGTGCTCATTGTTGCTTGGTTCTTGTCTAATAGGATATCTAGAGATAATTGTTTAATATATAATTATTTGAGAAAATAACCTCCAAGGAGATTACTAATTTTATACTGAGGGTATTTTTCAATATCTCAACACCATATCACACGTGAAAGCCTCTGTTGTCACAGAGGTACAAAGCAGGGATCCGCAAGGACACTTACCCTTCTCTGCTCCCTCACATACTCCACCAGCTCGTCTCTTGTTCTCTTTACTGCCTCCTCCATGGCCCTTTCACTTCTCTTCTGCTCCTCTATTATTGCTGCTTTGACAGCTTCCTGTTTGGGGATGGAAAGCACGGTCAGTATGGCATGCACAAAGACACACTTGTGTATTTATATAAATGAAGGGCTTTTTTTGGGTGCAGCTCATTCTGTGACAGGCAATCTTTAGACTGGAGGGTGCCCCTGTAACAGCTTTTGGTAACAGAGGCATTAGGAGGAGAGAAATGGAATTAGCCATTTTCTGAAGGAAGTGATGAACCTAACAGACACCACTTGCTTCCCCAGCAACCTGTCACTCCTGGTTTCTGTCAGATTGCCTTCCTGTCCTCTGTACCCACACAAACGCAGTGTTTACTCTTCCATAGCAGTCATCAGATGTGGTCTGCGGAGCAAGCTTTATTACAAACACCTTGGCCTCAAACCAGGTCAAGATGCTGAGAGCTGGACACCAGGTGAAACTCCACCCTGTTAGCTGCTATTTGAAATGAGACCTCTAGGGAGGAAAGAAGAACTCACCGCCTTACTGAATTGGGTATCAGAAACCTGAGGGATTTCAGAACAGCAGATAAACAGAAAAGGGGTGAGTAGGTAATATTCTAAGACTTCTCAGAAAGCAACATTATTTTCTGCAAAATAGTACTTTACCCTTATATTTTTAATTAAAAATAAATAAAATAAGGATGTAACGTATTACACTTGACTGAAATGAATGCTACAAATCACAATTATTTAACTTCCATTTACCCACAGATGTCAGGACTTTCCTACTGGGTAACACCATCAAAGAGTATTCTCCGCACTTTTGATTCTTGAGATCTATGCATGTTTTCTCTTAGTTTTTCCTCAATCAGTTTAGACATGTATATATGACCCAAAAAATATAAAACAATAATGATTCACTATCACAAGTCTATTTACTGTGGGAATTTTGTAGAATGTAAGAAAGTGTGAGCATACAGTGATATACATGCAAATGTGTAAACATGCAAATGTGTACAGAGAACAAGGGACAGAGTAGGAAGGAAACTGGACATAAGGAGTCAGATTACTGTATGTGCTAACTACTATCTCTGGGAGTTTTCAACTGAAACATGCTCTGAATATTTTCTTAGGCTCTTATAGTCTTTTATAGTATGGTTTATATTCCTTTATACAGTTGCATAATGACTTATTTTTACCAGGTCTTAATAAGTAAATCACATTTATCATGTAGTTAAATTTTTTATTTCTATGCATATTAAATGTAATTAAGTATTATTATTATTATTATTATTATTATTATTATTATTTTTTTTTTTTTTTTGGTTTTTCGAGACAGGGTTTCTCTGTGTAGCTTTGCGCCTTTCCTGGAACTCACTTGGTAGTCCAGGCTGGCCTCGAACTCACAGAGATCCGCCTGGCTCTGCCTCCCGAGTGCTGGGATTAAAGGCGTGCGCCACCACCGCCCGGCTGTAATTAAGTATTATTTTTAAAGTTACACATGGTTGTAGAAAGGCATAGAAAGCGGGTGATTATAAGATGCAAGGGTCAGATTTCAGATGCCACAGAGTTCTCATTTGTGGTCAGCTCCCTTCTGCTCATGTGTTCACTTGTCAAGTTATCTGCTAAGTGTCCAGTAGTGCCTGTAAGACATAGTTCCAGATCCTGGAGCCTCCTCTCTCCTTCTCTCGATGGGCTGTAATTTACCCACACAAACAGGAAAACAGAGAAACAGAAGCGACAATGTAGAAACAGAGATTTCAAAAGACACTAGGGCCAATGGGTGGTGTGGACCCTAATTTTAGGAGTTGCTAGGAGAGATGTCTCATGTCTGTCTGCACAGCCCTTCTAAGAGAAGACAGGGAGTGGCCTGTGAGAGGTGCTTGCTGGACACTGGATACTTGTTACAAATAAATTTGTCTGACAGTTCTTGTGGGAGTGGCAGGAGAGGAAGGGGAAAAGCCAGGCAGACATCAAAGACCCTAAAAGCTCAAGCCACACTTGTAACCTGGCCCAGGGCTCCCAGGAACCCAGTGCACTGGCTTCCATTCCTGCCATGTGGGTTGGCAGACACAGGCTTGATCAACTCCCCACAGTCATCTCAGCCTCTCCCTGATCGTCCCCACAACACTTTTCACACTCACTCTGAACTATCCACAGAGAAAGGAAAAGCATGCGTGAATTCTCATTCCCTTCACTATGGACAAGGGCCAGCCTGTGTCTACACCCAGCCAAGTAAGCAAGGCAGACAACAGATCTGCCTGAAGTTAGAGTTTCACACTCTTAATACATGGAAACAAGATATTTCAGTATGGTAGGTGGCATGATTTGGTGTAATAAGTGCTAACAGAAGCTGGGTGTGCAAGGTTTGGAACTGACAATGTTTGTGTAGGGGAGGATTAGCCAATGCTGTAGCATTAAGGGATGGGGCCTGATGGAGGTACCTACATCATTGGGGAATTCTAGAAGGGACTAACTAGTCTTGTTCTAGTGGGTTGTTAGTTCCTGCAAGTTCATCTCTGAATTCCTCACTTCCTGTCTCACCATGTGATCTTTGCTTTTACATAATTCGGGCTGTCCTGCCACAGGCCTGAAGTGGCACAGCCTGGGAGTGATTTCTTCTTTTCATAATTTCTGGGATCAGTTACATTGTACCTGCGCATGTACACACACACACACACACACACACACACACAAGTGGTGGGTATGGAAAGAGACTGGTCAATGCATACAAAGCTATTTTCAAGGAGGACAGAGTTCTGGTGTCCTATGGCACAGTGGGATAACTACAAACAAAATATTATAGTGGATCTTTCAAAACAAAAAACAACAAATGTAAAAATGTGAGGAATATGTCAAATGCCTTGATTTAACACACAATATATACATGTGCTGAGACATTAGAGCCCACTATAATTATATGTGGTTATTATGTTTCTATTAAAAATGAAAGTAACAGATACTTGAATGTCTCAAACAGGGGGAACTAAGTTCAAAGCTAGCCTGGGCTACAAAGCAAATTCAAGACCCGTCTGAAAAACATGGTGAAACCTTGCCTTAAAATGAGAAAAAGAGCTGTGGTGTAGCCCAATGGTAGAGCACTTTTGGGCATGTACACTGCCTCAGTTCACTTTGCCTATCACTGAACAAAGTGAGCCAAAGTAGAACTATCATCGGTGTCTCACCTGCCCAGCGAGTCAGCAGTGTGCAAACTGTGAAGAGTCATGGGTACTCTGTATGCTTCCCTGTGAGTCAATACACTTCCATTTCCATACAAACTTAAAGCTCAAACTAAGGTTCAGAAGTGTTTTCTAGAATCCAGAACCTAGACCCCTATGGAGTAAAAAGAAAACTTTGTATCTCAAAATCCATGTGCTGTGCAACAGCCTTTCAGGCCATCTTGACTTTGAAGTAATTAGTCTGCACTGTAATGAATGACAAGAGGAGATGAAGAGAACACAGGAGGTCCTGGACAAGCCACCAGGGAACCAACATACCCCATCAACTCAGAAGCTTACTGACACAGGAGACAGGATGGGAGCACTGGTGACTCAGACGATGGGGACTCTGAATTCTAAGTAAGCAAAATGCTGTCCTCAGAAGAAAATCTTGTTCTTTGTATTAGTGAGTCTACGCTAAAAAATTATCCTCTTTTACTATATTGATCTTCACCGACTACGTGATAAACATCCCCTCATTATATTAGAACCTCCACTTGGTTGAAACCCTAAAGGATTTACTCTCTGGCTTGTTACGGGAAAAGCGTTTGCCAGTACCTGTTTCGGCCATGGTTCTCCATGCTGGGGAGCTGGGCTGGCTCAGCTCTGCTGGTCTTTGGATCTGTGCTCTCTCTGGATCTGACTCTCTCCATATTTGTCATCAGCTGCTCCATTTAACATGACTGCCTATAACTACAGTGGCCTAAAAAGAAGGACCTCAAAGATGGGGGCCACTCTCTTTTGATGATCTCCCATCCTCTACACAGGAAGATGCTTAGAACTTATTTTAGGAAAGCCAGATTACTACTTTGCAAACAAAGAGTACTTTGAAAACATGGAGGCCTCCTAGGAGAGGCTCAGGGATGATGCAGCTACTGTAGCCATGCACCCAAGTTCTCTTCTATTTGTCTATGGCCTTCTCAGCAAAGTCAAAGGCACCAGGGACTTGTGGATTTTCTAGACACTGTTAACACCCTGGGATCACATCAGCCGCATTCCTGGGACCCTCCGCATCTCTTTTCATCAGAATCTCTAGATTCTAGACCTATGCACTGTTTTTTGTTGGCTGATCCTTCCTTTGGCAGACCATCTCCTCTAGGAGGTTTTTGCCTGGGCATCTGCTTTGTCTGAAAATGTTTTTATTTTACCTCATCATATAGTTGGTGATCTGCATTTCTAGGATGGAAATTTCTGCAGTTTTAAACACTTTGAGAATATGATCCCAGGTTGATTCCTCATCACTGGTACACTGGTTTAGTTTTCCTTCTGGAGTATTGTACCTTTTGACATTGCAACACCTTGTAATACAGAGTTCACTCTAAAAAACATACATTTGAGTTTTTTAAAAATTGCAAAAAAATTCTAACTTCTTAAGTAAATTTACAATTTTGTATTAGGCCCAATTCCTAGCTATCCTGGGGTAGTGAGGCTTGTGGGCCACAGGAGGGACATACTGTCCGGGATCTAAAAGAGTGTATTTGCTTTATTAAGTTTCATTATGAACCTGGTTATAAGCAGATCAGACATGAGTCTCCATAATCTAGAAAGCTACACCTTCTAACTCTAGATTTAATAAGTGATGAAGGATTAGTACAGAGTTACAACTTCCCAGTTTTGATTGATCTGAGTCCCATAAAGCTGCATGCCTTCTGATGGACTGCCTGGTTCTTTTCTATATCAGCATGGATTTACTTTAGCTTTTTAAATTATCACATGATCGTTCCCATTTTTAAATCTTACACATTTTTAAAATTAAAGTGTATCACTTCCTCTACCCCCTTTTACCCTCTAGCACCTTCCAAGATCCCTCCTCGCAAGTATCCTCCCAATACTCCCAAACCGATAGCTTCTTCTTCT